CCTATTTTCATGCTTCTTTTGGCTTAGCTTCCAACTGTAAAAAGCTTCATTTTTTAGTATTGAAAATGTTTGTTTGAGGCTTCTTTGGTGTTAGGGGTGATCTACCCCCTTTTATGCCTTGTTTTGCCTTATTTTGAGTTATCCTTTTAAGCTATTGGGACCACCTCTTTTTGGCCTTCTCACCACTGAAACTTAGAGGAATTTTAGTGGTGGAAAGTGTGTTTTGAGGTCCTAAACAGGAGGGGGTCATCCCCTCTCCTTGTGTCTTGGTTGCTTACCTTGTTGGCCTAATGTTTAAGCATGTCTTTCTAGCATGTTTTGGCTCCATCTTAGCGTGTCTTAGGCATTATTTCAGCATGGCATAGCTCTGTTTTGGGCCGGATTGATCATTGGTTGCTTGCATGTTACACTTGTAGTGTAAATTTTGCATACTAGCCTTACATGCTTGTGTTGATAGCTCATCTTTCTAGCATGTTTTGGTCCTATCTCAGCAAGTTTTTAGTGTTATTTTAGCATGCCTTAACTCTGTTTTGGCTTAGTTTAGGCCACCCTTGCATGCTCCTTGCACTTGTAGTGCAATTCCACTCATTAGCCTAACATGCATCATGCTTTGGACCATCATTCTAGCATGTTTTTGGCTCCACTCCAGTAAACTTTTACTCATGTTTTTACCATGCTTAAGCTCTGTTTTATGTTATTTAGGTCATGCATGCCTTGCTTTGTATAGCCATAGTTCATTCTAGCTTACTAGCTTTGTGTTTTGAGTCCACTAGCATGCATTGCTTGGGCTATTCACATGATTTAGCATCATTTGATACATGATTTCAGAGCATGTTGCATTGTCATACACTCACATGTGTCACTCTTTTAATGCTTTGGAGGGTTGGTGCTTTATGCCTTAAACATGAGCCAATGTGTATGCCATGTTGTTTAAGCTTTTGGGCTACCATCTCAGTGGATTTTTGGTCTTATTTTGCCATGATGCAACTCTAATTTTTATTGGTAAAGTCATCTCATGTTTGGTGTTGGTAGATGTAGTGTAATCCTCTTTGTTGGCCCAACATGCTCCATGCTTCATGCCTTCATGCTAGCTTGTTTTAGCTATACTTCATACGTGTTTTAGCATTGTTTTGACATGCTCTAGGACTGTTTTGGGTTGTCTTGGCCATATAGTTCATGTATTGCATAGCTATAGTGCAAGTGCCTATGCTAGTTTCAAGCTTTGAGCCTCCTAGCATGGTTCATTTGTGACATGTGCATGATTTGGCATCATTTAACATGTTATTTCAGGGCATATAGCATTGTCATATTCTCATGCATATCCCTCTTTGATCATGTTTGAGAGTTGTGCTTTTATGTCTTGTTGATGGGCCAATGCATGAGCATGCGTTATCTTACTTTTCATGCCATCATTTCAGAGTATTTTGGCCAATATTTTGGCATGATTTAGGTCTGTCCATATTCGGTTTAAGTCCATTGAGCATTATATTGTATGCCTCCTGTGAGATGTTCTTTCCTAACTTTGATGCCTTAAGCTTCTAAACTTGCTATGCATGCATTGTTCATATGTTGGAAACTTGTGTATGCCATTCTAGCATTCATAGAAGAGCATGTTGTTTGCATGTTGTTACATTGCATTTTGTTGCATTGCATTGTGTTCGCATGCCATTAGCATTGATAGGTTGATCATGTTGTATGTGTTGCATTGTGTTTGGATAGAGTGTTAATCCAAGCATGAGAAACGATAGACGTTTCATACTTGAAGTGATGAAACGTGCCTCATTTCTCGGTCGTCGACCCTTTTGATCAAGCATGATAGAGATTAAGGCCCTTATATGTTATTTGTGCATTCATTGTCATTGAATTATGCAAACTTGGCTTCTCGACCATCGTGCATTGCGATGCTCGGCTGGTGGCCCGAAAGTAGAGAACCGCACTCCCTTGAGCTTAAGAAATGATAGGGAGGGTGGTTGTGCACACATACCTTACAAATATATTGTTGTGCCCCTTCTTGTTCTCTGTCGCAACAAATTGGAGCTTGGCAAGATTTTCTGGTTGGCAGACCAGTAAAAGTGGCTGGCCAACCACTTTTCCTGCCCTGCAGCATGTGTAAGTGGTCTACAGGTGGTCTACACCACCATTAAGTCGTCGGCAGCCTTCCTGGAGGTCTCCATGATGGAGTAGAAGCTACCTGGAAGTTTATGCAGTGTTCTAAAATCAAATGCAAATAGAGGCAAGTTGGGGCATAGCGATGGATTTCCGAACGAGGCGACCGAGCATGCATGCATTTCTCGTCCCGAGGCTCCTTTTAACTGTTTAGCTTAACTAGTTAGCTATTTGGTTCTGTACTTAAGTAGTTAATGCACTTAGCTATTCATTTGCGTTGTAATAACTAATTAGTTAACTAGGATTAGTTAATTAGTTTCGTTTTGTAATAATTAGTTTAATTAGCTTAGATTAGCTAGTTAGCTTATTATTTGGACCATCCGTCGAGAGGGCGAATGTTGTAATAAGCGTGCGTGTGTGTGATGCATGTCTTCCAACCCCATTTCTTTCTCCCTTTTACTTACCTGCTTTCGATGGTTAATTTTAGGACATGTTTCAATTAGCATACTTATGCTTACATGTTTGCATCCATTCATCCTGTCTTGCATGCACTGGGCTCGACGCATCATACAAACTGCATTGTATTTCAATACCAATTTGAATACATGTTATCAAGTTGCATTCACATGACATCTTAGAATAGCCGAGCCTATCTTAGTTGCATTTTTGCATGTGTTGCATTAGGCATTGTTGACATAGCTAGGATCATGCATTGATTACTAACTAGTTTCTGTTTTGGCTTGGAGTACACTGTGAGTATTTATGCTTTAGCATCTTTGCATGCGTGTAAGTGACTGCTATGTTTAGCATGCTTGCCATGAGGCTAATTGCTTAAGTGTTTAACTGCATGAATGCCTGTGGATGAAGGCTTCATTGCTTGAATTGGAATAATTCATCAAAATGTGCGTTTTAAGCATACTTGAAGTGGCAAATCATCATGTTTTAAGCCCACCTTGTTTGGTGGCAAATCCGCGCTTTAGCCTACTTGCGAGTAGCAACTTCAAACCATTTTCGAAAAACAAACATGAGATGTTTTGTTCCAACTTGAGTGATTTAGTCTATACTTGTATGCTATGCGCATCACATAGTAAGGTTAGCTAAAAAGAACACGTGTTTTCAAAAACAACATATCATGTTAGTAGAGGCCGATCCTTTGATCGAGCGAACGGGGATGCTCATTGCAGGACCTTCCCCTTTCGTACCTAAGTTCCCGAGCCGAAGCAACTTTGGTGATGACGGACACGTGGCCTTAGGCACGAGTCAGGGTTTCCTATATTTTCCAAAATAAAATATTTAGGTGGCGACTCTGAAATCTGGCAAAGTAGTCCATGTTTGGCGCTTTTGATTAAAATCGATTTTCCAAAACGATTTGCCGAATTTGGATTCTTTGGTGATTTATCAGTCTTACATTGCACTTTGTAAGATTAGATTCAAAACCGTGACAGGAGTTCGAACTGTAGTAGCTAGAACTACAATTTGCGCCCTCGCACGCGGAGCGGAGTTCGGGCGATCTACAGTTTTGTTTGGGATGTGGGTTGACTTTTTTATTTTTTGACTATTTTAGCCTAAGACTAAAAAGTCTCGTTCGAAATGATTTTTTTTACTTTTGTGAAAGAAAAAATGAAATAATTATGATTTGAATATAATATTTTTGTCTTATTGACTTTTTAATCTATTTTTTCTTTTTGTGACTATTTTAGCCCAAAAAATTTATTTCAAACGTAGCCATGGACATATCCAAACTTACCATCATTATCTCCAACCATTACATAAACCTAGAGCTAATATATTATACATTACACATTAACATTTGACCCAGAAACATTGTGAGATACAAACATCATCAACACATACATAATAGACCCATATCAACATTCTCGCCACAAACATCAAACACACCAACAAAAACACATACATATCGACCACAAATTACACACCAAAAGTCACGAACAAACACTAATCTCGAATTCCATTTTACGGTTGACAGAATCACGAGAATACATACCTTCATTTGTTATTGTCATTTGTCCTCAATACCAACACCACAGTTGTCGGACCTTTTCACAATTGAATTCGATGTTACTGAACTCACTACTTGACGTCGCTGATCATTTTTCGCCCAAATTTTTGCACCTTGTGAACCAATGTTACATCTAGGAATGTTTCTAGGGTTTGGTCAATGTAGGGTTTGTGAATCACAAACTTGGGAATGCGGAGTTGCTAAATCATCGGCGAAAAATATGTCATTCCCATTTACATGCCACTCAAAACCACGATATATTGTTGATCAATGTTACACCAATCTCTAGAATCTTTCCATTTATGAATGCTGAAATTCAAATCACAACATTTAAGAAAAGTCTAAATCTGTAATTTCACACTGGGTGAAATACCACATTTATCTCTTAACATTGCAGAGCCTCCATAGTTATGAGTGTCCTTTTGTGTCAAATGCACTATAATGAGACTTCTTGGTCTAATTTAAAAAAAAAAAAAACATACAAAACTAGGTAGGTGTTTGGAAATTTACTATTTTAGTAGATTATTTTAATTTTGACTATTTTAGTAGGTTAAAATTTTTATATTTGAAAAGATAGTTTTATTTTTTTTATAGTTGGATGTGATATTTGTGAGAAAAAAAAAAAAATAATTATTGATTTGATATGAGATTTTATCTTATTAACTATTTTAACTTATTTTATCATTTTGTGAATTTTAATCCAAAAAGTTAAAAAAAAAGCCTCTGTCAAACACACCGTAAATAGTTTATAAATTCTTATATTAAGGTTTATTGGTGCATCATTTTAAATTTTTTAATAAACAAAAATTAAATAGCAATTATATGGTTCCATTAAATGTTTAAAAGGGGCATTTACAATCATTCTCACTCTATATATATATACACTTACATTTCCGTCATCATTGGGGTGATCGCCACAAAAACCCATCGCCCTCCGGCCACCTCTTCTCCCTCGGCGATCCGCCGCCGGTGATCGCCGTTCCGGTCCACCGCCGACGGTCCCCAATCTCCCACCTCCAATTCCCTCCCCTGGTTCCTCAATCTCAATCCCCAAAACACCACAAATTCCATGTGATCGATTTGCGAAAACTCGCAATTTTATCCCCAATTTTCCATGATTTGATCGGTGTTTCGTTAAACTAGTTCTAGGGTTAGGGTTTATCAGCCTGAGATGTTCAAAATCATAAAGCGAGGGCACCGAAAGCTCTCGAAATCGGACGGTACCGATTTTGGCTACGTTGCTCCGGCAAATCGGAATTCTGGGTCTGTTTCGACCTCGGATGTTGTGGTAAATCATGCCTCCATTGGTCCGGCATCGACACTCGTCACTTACACCGGAGCTACTATCGTTGTTGCTCCACCTTCAGGGACAATTGAGATTCTTCCTTTGCTCAAGGATGTTCCAGCCCCTGAAAGACAGAACTTGTTTTTGAGAAAATTGCAGATTTGTTATTACCAATTTGGATTGATCATTGGTTGCTTGCATGTTACACTTGTAGTGTAAATTTTGCATACTAGCCTTACATGCTTGTGTTGATAGCTCATCTTTCTAGCATGTTTTGGTCCTATCTCAGCAAGTTTTTGGTGTTATTTTAGCATGCCTTAACTCTGTTTTGGCTTAGTTTAGGCCACCCTTGCATGCTCCTTGCACTTGTAGTTGTAGACGTCCCCGAACATCCCGGGAGGGAATCCCGTTTTGTTCATATGGGCTCACTACAGTTCGGACTCAAAAGTCACGGTCCTATATCTAATCTTGCAGAGTGTAATGCAAGACGGATGAATCATCAAAGAGTCCAAATTCGGCAAATCGTTTTGAAAACAGATTTTTAGAAAGAAGTGCCAAACATGGACTACTTTGCCAGATATAGAGTCGCCACCTAAATATTTTATTTTTGGGGAAATTTAGGAAACCCTAACTCGTTGCCTAAGGCCATGTGTCCGTCATCACCAAAGTTGCCTCGGCTCGGGAACTTGGGTACGATTGGGGAAGGTCACTTCGTGAGCACCCCCGCTCGCCTGATCAAAGATCGACCTCTACTAACCATGATATCGAGTTTTGAAAACATATGTGCTCTTATTCCGGTTTATTAGCCTAGAATTACTATGTGACAGCATACAAGTATAGACTGGGTCGCCTGAATTGGAACAAAGCATCTCATGTTTGTTTTTGAAAATGATTTGCTACTCGCAAGTAGGCTAAAATGCGGATTTTGCCACCCTCAAGTGGGCTTAGAAAACATGATTTTGCCACTCTCAAGTGGGCTTAAAACACAAATTTTGATGAATTGTTCCAATTCAGATAATCCAACCTTCTCCCACAAGCATTCAGGCAGTTATATCACATAAGCAGTTAGCCTCATGGTAAGCATGCTATCATGGCAGTCACACACACGCATGTAAGGATGCTAAAGCATAAATACTTACCGAGTACTCCGAGCCAAAGAAATAAGCTAATTAGAAAACATGCATGAATCCTAACTATGCTGAGATGCCTAACGCAACACATATAAGAATGCAACTAAGATAGGCTCGGCTATTCTAAGATGGCATATGAGATGCTACAAGTAACATGTATTCAACTTGAAATTGAAATACGATGCAGTTAGTATGATGCGCTAAGCTCGGTGCATGCAATATAGATGAATGATGCAAACATGAAAGCATAAGTATGCTAATTGAAACATGCCTTAATTTAACCATCATAAGCTGGTAAATAAAAGGGAGAAAGACGTGGGATTGGAAGACATACATCACACACACGCACACTTATTACAATTGTGCCCTCGCTTGGAGGGTCTGAAAGAATATTACACAACCAAAATAAATAACAAATTATTACACAATACTAATTACTTAACAAATGAATTAGGTAAGCAAAGTAAACTAGCATGCTATGCTACATGCAATGGACTGCCTCAGCTCTGTTCCGAATGATGAAGGATGCATGCATACTTCGGGTCGCCTTGTCGGTAAATTCCATCGCGATGCCTCGCCTCACCCTTGTTTACAATTGATCTCAGAAACTTGCACAAAGCTCCAGAAGGCGGAAACTCCACCTTGGGAAGGCCACCGACCAGTTATTAGCATGGGAGACAACCTGCCAACCACCCTTTGTGGTGGAGACCAAAGAAGGTGGTTGGCATTCCAGAAAATTTGGTCAGCCGACCAGTTTCCACCTCTGGTTTCTGGTTTTTTTCTGCAACAAAGGTAAGAGAGAGAAAAGGCAATATATTTTCAACAAATGTGTGCATGACCACTCTCCCTATCATTGCACAAGCTCTAGGGAGTGTAGTCTTGATCCTCGTGCCATCAATCACGCATCTCGATGCATAATGGCTGAGGAGTCGAATTGCACAACTCAATGGGACATGAATGCACATATAAGCAAGTAAAGCCAACAACTCTATCATGGACAGTCAAGAGTGTCGGCGACCGAGAATCGAGGCACGTTTCGTCACTTGGAGTACGAAACGTCCCTCGTTTCCCGTGTTCGAACTAAACCCTACTCCAAACACAAAGCAATGAGATGGCATACACAATGCGACTAACATGCAACATAGCATACGCAATGCTATGGGCTAAAATGGCATACACAATGCACGTGACATAACATGGCATACACAATGCACTTACGAAGACTATCATGCGCACATGAACTAAATGGCATATACAAATGCAAGATAGACTTACACCAATATGAGTGGACCTCAGCCACACTCACATCAGTGGCCGTATGATGAAAATGAGACAACCGAAATACATGCAAACATGCACGAATGCAAAGAACTGATCCTAAGACACAACATGCAACTCTAACAAAGCATGGCAAATGATGAAATATGGCATAGAATGGCACATGATCCAGCTTTGAAATATGATGCACGATGGTCCCGAATCATGCAAACACTTCATACGATGCGTGCTAGATGGCCCGAATACCGAAACTAGTGAAGTGCGTTACACTAGAGGTACACAAAGCAATGCACAAATGGAAAAACCAACCCTAAACAGACCCTAGGCAGGTCCAAGATAGTGGGAAACTGGTCTAAAACGATGGCTCGGAATGCATTCAAATGAAGCCCATGCAATGGTCGGTAAATGAGGCATACAAGCCCGACTCTCTAATGCACTTAAAGAGTGGAAATCATGGGAATATGGTATGCATATAAGCTCTGAAATATGATGTATAATGACCCCAAAGCATGAAAACATCTCAATATATGCATGCAATAGACCTCAAATCTCAAAGGTAGGCATGGATATTGAACTACAAGCATGCAAAACAAGCATCATTCGACCATGAGACCCAAAAAAAAAAGTTAAGGTAGTCCAAAACATGCACAAAATCAGTTTAAGGCATGGCCAAAAAGTGTTAACATGAAGGGCCAAAACAACATGCAACATAGGCTAGCAAGCATGGTTTACACTGCATGTATATGAAGCACATGAAAGGCCACTAAACTAGCCAAAAAAAAAAACATGGCATGCCAAAATATGACCAAAAACCCACTGAAACTCAGTCAACACATGTTAGGATGAAGTGCTCCTTTGAAAGGCCAATGAGAGGGTTGTTCTATACATGTATGATGGACACACAAAATGGCAAAACTACCTCTGGACAGAGGTTATGAGGGCCCTAAAACTCACTAAAAAGGGCCTGAAATGAGTCTAGAAAGTATGCAAATAAAGGCCCATTTGGAAGGCCTTGAAGAGGATTACTCTACGCATGCATAATAGACATTCAACATGGAAAAAAGGGCTCTGGACAAAGCCTATGCAGGTCACAAAACTCACAAAAAGTGATCTGAAACATGGCTTTGAAATATGAAAATATGGGCTCCTTTGTAAGGCCAACAAAGCTAGTAAACAAAATAAGAGGTGAGAGGATCACCCCTCTCTGATTTTGAGGCTCAAAAACACATGTTAACCACTGAAAATCCGCTGGATTTCAGTGGCTAAAAGGCCAAACCAAGGCCAACACAAATGCTCTAATGCATAGCTCAAAACAAGAGGAAATGAAGCATGTAAGGGGGTAGACGACCCCCAACAAAAAAATGGCCTTAAACAAACATGTTTAGAAGCTCAAAACAAGATTTTTTTTCAGTTTATGACAAAGCCTAAATATGCTTGCAAGTATGGCTAAAATAAGGATCAAAATGAAGCTCAAAAGGGAGAAAATGGTTACCCTTGTAGCACAGCAAGAACCAGCAACCTCTGGACCCAAAAACCAGTCCCTTAGCCTCTGAAAACAACTTCCAAGAACCTCCAAGCAATGGTAGAAGTGTGTGGCTATGAAGTGGTGTGCAAAGGGGCCAAGAACCAAGCAATTTAGAGCTCAAAAGAGAGATATAAAGAGGGATATATTGTTTAGCCTCAGCAACTTCAGAACCCTTACAAAGGAAGGAGAAGCCTTCCTTTATAGAGGAGAGGGTCCAAAGCTTCCCTTGGAAGCTAAAAACCAAGAATGAACATCCTCCATACACGTGTATGGAGGATGGTGCAAATGCCTCCCAGCTAGCACAGCTGGATAACATTCAGGGAGACAAAAAAGCAGAAGGCTGGCCGACCAGTTCAAGTGGTCGGCTGACCACTTGCCCTGGTCGGCCGACCAGGGGTCAAAAGGTTCAAGTTGAAAAGGTGGTCGGCCTACCAGGATTAGTGGTCTCCCAGGTGAATGCAACTCAATGGTGGTATGGGATAGGGCTGAGCAAGGAATCCGCGAAATCCGTAATCCGATCCAGTCCAGTCCAATCCAGTAGGTTTGGATTGGTTTTTTGAATCCGTGGTTCGGTTCCGGATTGAAAAATTAAAAATCCGTAGTTCACGGATTGGTTCCGGATTGAATCCCACGGTTCCGGATTGGAACCGATCCGGACCGTATACAAATAGTTTATATTTTTATTATACACCCTCCTGCATAGTATCTTCTCTTATTTCATATAAAACTTAAATCCAAACCTAAACTTGCATAGTATCTTCTTTTATTACTTTTGTTTGCTAGTTTTTAGTGTTAATTTATAATGGTCTAAATACTTATGGTGGAACTAGTTTCTTTATGGTTGTTTAAATTCTAGAACAGTTTGTCGCTATTATGAAAAGACATATTGCTATTGTGAAACTAATATGATGCTATATTTATATTTTTATGAAAATAAAGTGTTATATATATATTTTTGTTATTTAATTATATAAATCCGTGGTCCTAAACCGATCCAATCCGTATTTAAATGGATTGGTTCGGATTGGTTCCACGATTTAAATGGATTGGATTGGTTCCAATTTTTCAGGATCCGTAAATAACGGATTGGTTCTGGTTTCACTCCAATCCGGTCCAATCCGGACCATGCTCACCCCTAGTATGGGAGACCAGAAAATGTGGCTCAAAAGTGAAGGAGACCACTTACCTGTCAAGAAAATCGTCCGACCGGGGAAAGGTGGTCTCCA